GGCGGATCTCCGGCGCGAGTCAACTACGAATGTCTGAGTAACTAATGACTAACTAACGGTCAGATTTTTCCGAAAATGTTGATTAGCCATGTCGGAAAAGCTTGTACTGTTGCAAATTTTGTCAAACACAACTGATTTCTCTAAAAAAATTTTATTTTTCGGCAGTGCATGAACAAATCGAGAGATTACTGGAGTGAAAGGGGCAATGGCAAAGTTGTACACGTATGCGATGAATTCAGGTACTTAAGAGGTGCTTTATGTGCAGAAAACAATTGCGCAACCAGTGTGCATAGCTCCCAGCCACTCCGAGCAGTCGTCGTTTTCGATCGAGAGCACAACGGCTCGAGGGCAAGCAGCCGTACGTGCCTCGCGGCTACAGGCACGTTCAGTGAACTTGGCTGTCGGCCAAAGAAGCTTGATGCGTTCCTCCAGTTCCTTTAGGATCTGTTCACTATGAGGATCGGGAAAACTTGAGCGAAGCGCCTTGCACTCAGTTTGGGAGAGTAGTTTTCCTACGGCTGCGTAGTCAAATTTGTCTTCTATGGAAATGGTGTCGTCAAATTTCTTCCTGTCGTCTTGCATTTCGGGTGGGAACTAAATACACAGATATTTTTCTCGGATACAGATCACTTTTTTCTAGTAAATCACCTCATTGTTGACAAACTTAAACTTTTCCTCAATAAAATTTAAATATCGTTCTTCCAATGTGCGCTGCTTGTAAACTTCCACCATTCGCTAAAGTAACATATTTCTTGAAAGTGAAACTGCCGGCGCAAATGTGGAAATGACCTGATCCGGCTCGAAAAGCTCGTCTTTATTGAATTGCCTATTGTAGGAGTATTTATTTCTCTGCATTAGTGGATCCTTGTCGAAGAGAAGGAAGTTCGCCACCGAACGAGCAGCTTCCGTTCCACGCATGACTGCAAACAAAGTTGATTTTTAATTTTTATTCGTTGGTGATAAACTGTGAGAGTCTCGATTCTGTGTGTCAAGGCACCATAATCATGCTGACCCTCTCATGATCGTAATTATTGATTATGAAAGTCGTAAAAATAATAAGATTGAGATAAACAAACTGCTAATGTCTTTTCGCGCTGCATACACCGATGCCTTAACGATGGTGATGATAATGCAGTGGGGGTTGAAAGATTGCTTACGAAACAAGATGACGAAAATTTTGCTCGAATGAGCGGAGTGGAGTTAGCCATCCAAAAATTTTT